CCGAAATAAAAGTGATACGTTCAAGGATGCCAGAGACACGGAAAGCACCACACCCCGCGCCCACCCCAGAGCACGTGCGCATGGGCAAATGTTCACTCGCTGAAGGAACGGGTGAGAGTGAAAACAGCAAAGAAAGGAGAGAAACGGGCAGCCTAAAACAAGCGTGATCTTACAGGAAGGAGGGCCCACTGAAATGGCCCCCACCTGTCGGGCCGTTCGGAGCTAAAGCTGTGGGAGTCATAACAAGAAAGGCTACACGGCTCTCCATATTTAATACAACCCTCATGCAGCCATTAACGGGTTTATTTCCGGCTTCGGGTTTCCTCTAAATAGTACGCCCATGTGCACACACACCTGTGCCTCCAGCAGAGCAGGTACTGCCAGTGGCCCCCGAGCTGTGCATCTGCCTGAGAGAGTCCTCTTCTACCTCCTTCCTTCTTCCCAGCAAACCAGGCCCGGTCCTGCCTCCTGCCCCACCCCCTCCTACCCCCCGAATCTCCAGTGCCCAGCGAAGGTCCCTGGGGCTGTGGGGAGCTCAGGGCGGGCGGTACAAAGACAGGCTTAGAGCAGCTCAGGGTTCTTTCCTGATAGGGATGAAGGGCAACGTGTCTTTGCCCTTTTTTTACTTGCAAATCGTATCAGTCCTACAGGGTCAGTTCCAGAAGTTGTCTCTGCAAGGGGGAACCGGGCGAGAGCTCCCCCTGCCCCCCAGCCTAGGTTCGCCTCAAAGGCAGGAAGGAAAGACGGACCGTGCAGTCAGAGTGCGTTCTGGCCCCTGGGACCCACACCTCATGCTGTTCAGGCAGCCTCAGAGTCCACGGGCCCGGGGCTGGGAGGACATCAGTCCTCCGCCCGCCCCTCCCCCCCGCCCCGCTGCCCCCCAGAGAAAGAGGACTCGTCATTGTTAGGGAGCCCTCAGCAAAGGGGATGCCAGTTCTCCCTGAAGTCTAGCCTAAGTCACCCTCCCTGCGCCCCCCAGCCCAGGCTCAGCCATCCTTACGTCCTCCAGGTGAACAGAAAAAACTGGGATCAAGAGGACAAACCTCCCTCCACCGCAGGTGACCAAAGCCACCCGCTGTGGGTTCCCCATCACAGGGCTCCTCCACAAGCTGAGGGCCGATTCGGGGGGCACAGAGGGACCGACCTGTGCAAACACAGGCATTCGGCCCCGTCCAATCCTAAGCCTTCCGCAGGGAACACCTGCAGATCCAGCCTGAACCATCCGGGCTACAGGTCAAGTAAATACACACACAACACTCCTCGCCCCCTTCTTACAAGCCCTGGCTGTTCAACTGAAGATCCCTCAGGGGGCCACCCCGCCAAGAAGACAGGCTGTTCCCTGCTCTGCCTCAGCACCCCTAGAAAGAGTGGGGGTCAGGCTCACTATTCAGGGAACACAGGTGCCCAGGAATTCTCTGACCCGCCTTCCTCTCCACGGGGGAGGTCTGCCTCTTCGAGTCAGCCACGGAGCCAACGTTCCCCGTTTCCAGGACGGCATCTTACTTCCCACTGGACATGAGCCAATCCTCCCAGCAGGCGCTGCGCTTTCGCCAGCAAACAGGTAACACACACAGCGCAGGTGCACGCCGGGCAAAGCGCCGGGCATACCTCCCACACCTGCCGGAGAGACGCTCCAAGGCCCCGCGACCAGGCCTCGTTTCTGAGAGCCGCTTGGCGGAGACGGGCCTGCATGCACACGCCAGGTGTGGTGCAGCCGGGTCAGTGGTGCGGAGCGTGAGACCTCGCAGAAACGCACAGGGAGTGGCTGCTCCCCAGCCCAGAAGCACCCGTCGGTTCTCACAGGAGCTCCAAGGAGCTGAGAGAATCGGAGAACCCGAGACCCCGGGTGTTCTGAGAAGAGACCTGCAGCCGACAGAGATCAAGGCAACTGCCGAGACCCGCTCCCCATCCCTGCCCGGCCCCACCCCACCAATCCGTGACAGAACACGGCCGGAACCCAGGGAAATGACAACTGGACTCAGGGGACCTGGGTCGGACCCAAATTCAGCGGGTACCAGGGATCAGATCTTGGCAGGACTCTCTGGCTCAGCTTCATCAACTACAGGGATAACACCAGCTACCCTCGCAAGGCTGTGTGGGGACCAAATGAGCTGGAAAATGTGAAAAGAACTGCGAGCATCACATGGTGTGCGTGAGAGAGGACGGCTGCCGATCAATTCCTCTCCCGCCGGAGTCCCAGCCCAAATCCCCGCGCGCCCCACCATTCTGGGGGAGGGCGGTGGGCTCAGTGCTGAAGCCCAGGTAAGTGTCTAGTAAGCAGATGGTATCTTGGAGAGATGTAGCCATTTTTAAAGCCTGCATTCTGGTTAGCGGGCAGCACGCTGTGAGCCCTCAGCCCCGGGGAAGAAGGAGTGGACCTCGGGGATGGAGGCTGCCGGGCCGGAGCTCGGCCCGCCTCCCAGCCCTGCTGGCCTCGGGCTGGCCTTGCACAACCGCCGGCAGGACCTGGACCTGGGCTCTCCCGCACGCGTGTTATTTTTGCTACCTTTGAACTAGTGACTCAAGACTCAAAAGCCGAAATGGAACTGGCGGCTCTGAGATATTTTTGTTTTTGTATTTTTTTCCCCTCTTCTCTCTCTTTTTAAATAGAAGGGCGCAAACAACCTCACGAGAAAAGAGGCTAAATATAAAGGAAAACTTCCTGACAGCAAAGGGCACAGCCCCCGAGCAGGTGTCTCGGGGAAGGGCCAGGACACGCAGGACCTGCCTGCACTCCCATGTTCTCTCCGGACTCGGGACCAGACAGAGCCGTGTGCATCTTTCTAGAACACGGCACCTCAAGTCACACCCCCCCGCCCCCCACCCCACAGGCACAGCTGGCCCCGGCAGCTCCCACACGCTAGCCCATCGCTAGACAAGCCTCTTGGTGGGAGCAGAGTCCTCGTCCTGTCACCGGAGGGTCCCCATCAGCCACCTTCCCACTTGCTTCTGGGGGAGGGGGCCTTTGAAAGTTGTCCCCACCCGCCTGCCTGCCCTGATTGACAGCATCAGTGCCTCTTCAGAGCACAGGATGCCGCTGGAGGCGGGTCCTCAGACCCCTCCCCTCTTCCTAGCTGGGGTCCAGCTCCCCTGGTCCAGAGTTTCTGGCTAAGATCTACCTCCACCCACACCCAGGGAGCCCCTGCCGGAGTTGGCAGGAACCTCCCAAAGGCTTCTTTTCCAACCCCCTCATTTTCTCGAGAATGCGAGCGAGTCCCAAAGAGGTAAAGCGAGCGCGCTTTCACCAAGGGAGCCAAGGCCTGCCGACCCGTCTCCACCAAGTCACAAAGCCCGCGTTCTCTGAGCCCCCACCGCACCCCGTGCCACCCCAGGCCCCGGGCGGCAGAGGGCAGTGTCGGTGGTGGGGAGGGGGGCAGGTGTGACCCGGGGCCAGGAGGGAAGGAGCGGCACGTGGCCTGAGTCACGTGGCCCGGCCGCTGTTCCGCTGGCGCCACATAAACAAGTCCTAGGCCCTGAGCCGGCCCCACGGAACTCTCCCTCCCACGTCCCCAGCCACCCACTGCCTCAGCCTCAAGACATCACGCTCACCCAGGCCTTGGTAACACGGGGTGACTTCTCGTCCCTTCCCCTCCGCCTGTCCCTTCCCTATCGCGACCATCTCAGAAGCACGTGCTGTGCCAGGAGAGGCTGGGCACAGAGCGCTGCCTCCCCAGACGGAGCGCCGAGGGCAGCCACGGCCAATGGAAACACCCTGGTCTGCGGGAGCCCCACGGCCTGATGTCTACGGCCTCCGAGGTCCGTGCCAGTTCCTCTGAGCTGTGCGGACCTTGGATGCCTTTCCTAGGTGACAGACGAGAGGGCTTGGCATCCATCTCGATCCTGACTCTCTGGAGGCCTGAAGACTATGGCTTCCCATGTGGCTGAGGTCCTTCGGGCCCCTATATTCCCTCCCCGACCAACACCTGGACCCCCACTCCTTATGCGTGGGGGTCCTCCTTTTCCGTAATGTCTACTTTATGTTCCTTTTCATTCTGTTTATTCCTGTTTTCTACCTCTGCCACACCAGCAAGCTGCCTCCCCCGCACCTCGCCCAGGCCCTGGCACATGGCAGAGGCCGAATCCAGATTTGAGGAGGGGATGGATTTGCCTGCTCCGTCCTGCCCGTCCACGGATACCCCAGGGGGCCTTCCTGGGCCCGGCCTCCCCCCAAAACGGGTGCCTGGCCTTCCACTCTGGTTCACATCCGTTCTCCTGGCCGCCTCCCCACGGAGGGCCTCAGCCCCCCAAAATGTCTGCCCCAGCCCCAGAGGGCGAGAATGAAAAGTTCAAGCTTTGGACGTGCCTGGGTTGAAATCTCAGCAACCCCACTTACCAAGTGAGTGGCCTTGGTGAAGTCACTTCACAGTCACAGTTCCTTTCACCATGAGAGGGAAGTAACACCTGCTTCATACGGTGGTTCTGACGGTGAAATCAGATAAGCAGAGGCGGGCTCTGCACACAGGTCAGTTTCCCTTTCCCGGGGCTGCCTGCTGAGACCAAGAGCTCTGCTGCCCATCCCACGCCTCCCAGGCTCAGCACGGACCCTGAGCTGGGCTCCAAGCGCACACACGTCCATTCCAGGGCCCAGCAGGCAGCCCTGGCTGAACACGGGATACACCCTCCCACGCCCTCCTGGCTTTCCACCTGCGATCAATGCACAGCCATCTCCCTGCGTGGCGTTCTCCATCCTCATCCGCCCGCTCCTCCCCTGCCCAGGCTCAACATGATTGCATCAGGTTCTGCATGGGCCTTGGGGCCTGCAGGTGCTCCCCGGCTCTACCGGCCCACAGGCAGCTCCCGTGGAGGGAGCCAGCAGGAACCCAACCCCAGCCTCTGCTCTCCTCACAGACACTGCAAGTCCCAGAAGAGCAAAGCGAAGCGAGGGCCTCCCTGGAACAGCCCGCTGGTGGGAAAGGGCAGGCGGTATCTCTCGCATATCTCCCAGGAAGGCAACGTGCCCACAGAAGTGACCGGCACAAGGTACAGATCCTCTCTGAAGCTGTGGCTGCAGCCTCGGGGGCACCGGTGCCAGGGGACAGGGCCAAGGCATGCATTAAACCGTCCACAGCCCCGACCAGACCGGGATTCAATGGGACCGAGAAGGTGCTGACCAATCAGGTCCCCTGGCAGGGCCCCGCCTCCAATGCCCGCTGCCCAAGCCACGCCACCACAGCTCGGGTGCCACCAGCTCGGTTAACCTCTGCTGGACTCAGATGGAAAGGCCTCACCCTGCCTCCTGGCTTCCAGACCACAAGGATCCAAAGGTCAAGAAAAAAGTGCCAGATATGCCTGTCCTACCCACACACACGCCCCCTCCCGCCCTCCCCAGGAGGTGTCAACTGTTCTGCTGGCCTGACTTGCAACACACAGTGCTCCAGGCTGGTGAGCAGGGACAAAAGAATGAGGCGAGGAACACACACAGGAAAATCAACAGGGAAGCGCCAACCCGGGGCTGGAAAGGCCAGAGGTGACAGGCAACTGCCCCGTAGCTTCCCACCCTGGTCCTCCCAATCTGGACAGGCAGGGCTGTGAATGGGAGTGAGGGTCACCCAGAGCCGGGCCAGGGATGCACCGCACACGGGAGAGCAGAGGCCCTCGAGCATGGCCAACAGCTCCGTCTGGCTCTAGCCCCACAGCCGGCGCTGGCCGGACTCTCGCCGGCACATCTTGAGGGACTTGGCCGGCGCCTCTTCGTCTCCCCAGCGGCACCAAAGTCGATCCCTCCTCTTTATTCATGTTCCAGACCCAACACCCGTAGCCATCGCTTGCTCCATTACTGCTGGAGGGGCTGAGACTGGTCAAGTTCCTTGAAGGAAGAGAAACCAGACTCATCCCCACAGCCCTGGGTGCCTCAGTCTAGAGCAGTGGTTCTCAACCTTGGCTGCATATCAGAATCACCTGGGAATCTTTTTAAAATCCTGATTTCTGGGCCTCATCCCCCAGAAATTCTGTTTCTTTGTTCTGGGGTGGGGCCACCACATTAGTAACAAAGAAACAGAATTTCCGGAGGATGAGGCCCAGAAATCGGGATTTTAAAAAGATTCCCAGGTGATTCTAATGTGCAGCCGAGGTTGAGAACCACGGGTCTGGAGGATCTCAGGCTGCTCAGAGCCAATTCACAGATGCATCTCAGATGGGAAGAGAAATGAAAGAAATGAAACATGGTGGCAGCACTGGCCTGCCTTCCCAGGGGAGGGAGTGGGATGGGGAAAAGAGAGCGGAGAGGTGGGACCCCACAGGGCCTCCAGGTGTTAGCGAGGGTGTCATCAAATTACGCAGCAACCCTCCTTTTCTCTTCAGACACCAGACAAAGCTGCCCTGGCTAATTCCAACCAGCGCTACTGGCCCAGAGCGTTGCCGGAATCTACACGGTAGGGGAGAGGTTTCTGGGTGTTGAGAACAGCGCCGGGAGTCGGCTCTCTGAATTGTCTCTACAAGGCGACAGGCCTCCCCAGTTCTGCAGCCGTCATCGTTTTTAATCACCGATGCTATTATTCTCAAGCGAGGCAGAGAAAAACATTTCTACATCCACTGCCTACAGATGCTCTGCCATGGCTTACTGGGCGTGGAATTTTTTTTTTTAAGGCCAAGGCAATAATAGCTTAGAGGAAGAAAGTCACACACACACACACACACACACACACACACACAAAGGTAGGCAGCCCGGGCAGTGTGGCTCAGTGGTTGAGCATCAACCTATGAACCAGGAGGTCACGGTTCAATTCCCAGTCAGGGCACATGCCCAGGTTGTGGGCTCAATCCCCAGTGTGGGGAGTGCAGGAGGCAGCCGATCAATGATTTTTCTCTCATCATTGATGTTTCTATCTCTCTCTCTCTCTCCCTTCCTCTCTGAATTCAATAAAAATATATATATATATATTTTTTAAGAGGTAGGGAAAGAGCCCCTAAATCTACTGCCCAGGCCATAGTCTAAACTCCAGACTGAGCTCTAGACTGAGGCCAGCAAGGCTAAAGGTGCTAGAGTAAGAAAGGACATCCCCAGAGATGACTCTGGGAAGAGGACACCCCAGTCCCAGGCAGGTTCCCAGGACCTTGAGGGGTTACAGCCAGAATCTCAGGCTAGGTGATATACTGGGGGCTGAGGAGAGTAGCCTGTCAGTGACACGGGAGACGCAACTGCTCTGCGAGCAGCCACACCCAGCAACCTCCCAGCCATCTCCCACACACCCTAGCAGCGGGGTCGCTTCGCGGGCCACCTTCCCCCGGTATCTGCTGGCGACTAACCCCGTTCACAGAAGAGCTGGGAGGAAGAGAATGGGAAGGAGAGAAAAGTTGTCTGGGAGATTCTGAATGAAGACGTTGAAGGATTCCTCACCGAATAAGGAAAATGGCCTCCATGGGAAGAGAAGGGGTTGGGGAAAAACGAGAAGGGGACTGGCCACACCTGACTTACCTGGGCGGCCGGGAAGGGGTTAAGTCATATTTTCCATGCTGCATCAGGTTTCCACGGAGCGGCCTGGTGATGCGCCACATCCATCAGCACTTTTGAGTCCCGGAACCGCAGTGGTGGCTCAACAGCACCTGCAACAGGGAGAAGGCAGAGATCCAGCCCACTCTGCCTGTACCACCCAGCATGACACCCTCAGTCACCACCAACTCTCCCGAGGTCGGCTGACACCTCTGCCTGGCGAAGGCAGATTTCCAGAAACTCCAAGGCAGGTGAGGGCAGGGAGCAGGCGCAGTTCCCGGATGCCAGAGCTGAGCTTGCCCTCCTGTATCCTAAAGAAAATCAAAGGAAGGAGGAGGAAGGGGTGGGGAAAGGCAGGGAAGACAAGAGGTCCAACAGAAGGAAGGGGGAGGTCAAAGCAAGGCAAACAGGAAACCCAGAAGACATACCAGAGGCTGGTCTTCGCCACGGGTCACGCTGTTCCTTCAGCCACATCCAGGGCCTGGTCTCTCCTCGTCCGAAGTCCAAATCCATCGAGGCTGTCAGCCCCTCCTCCGTCAGTACCCTCATCCATATGACCTTTGTATCCATCCGCATCTGAATTAGGGGAAGAGAGCTTAGCAGCCCTGAATCGGGCAAACACACACACACACACACACACACACACACACACACGCGCGCCCCTCCCAGAACGAAAGGCCCCTGAGAGACGCCTCACTCTCTAGGTTCTGATCCTCTGGTAGAACTACTCCTCTCCCACAGGGGAGGGCAGACACGTCCGATAAGAATTGCTTAGCGAAGGCTATATATAGTCTAGGTTCCAACCGGCCTAGAGATTTGGAGCTAGAACTTGGCAGAGAACCATGCTAGATGCTGGCAAGGACCAGCCTCCCTCAGCCAGCCAACTGAGAGCCTCACCTCCCTGCTGGGGGCAGGGAGGGCAAACAGGGTCCTTCCATTTGGCCCGTTAACACTCTGCACTGAGGGACACGGGCTTTGGGAAAACCGACGTCTCCGAAGTGAGAGGGGGATGTGTGGGGGCTGAACCCTGAGTTCTAGCGTCTCTACAGCTCTCCGCAGCAGGAGAAAAGCAATCCAGCCCTCTCTTCCGGAGCACCAAGGGTGGGGCGTGCCGGAACAGAATGGAGACGCCACAGCAGCTGGCTGGGGTCAAAACACATCTATCCGCTCCCGATGTCTGAAGGAATAAAAGAATGCAGACAAATACTTACTGCACGGAGCCAGGCTGCCACACATCTGTCTCTTTTTGGGGGGTGACAAATAAATGCAGACGGGCGCACATGACCCCACAGTATGGCCGCTGTCTTCTGCAACCAGCACTATCCTCAGTTGGGCCGTGTCTCCACGAAGTTGTCATTCACGGAGCTCAACTCCTCTTGAGTTCTCTGTGGGGAAGAAGCAAAAGGAAGACAGGTGGGCTCAGCTACAGGGCCAACCGCAAGCAATTCGTTGTGCAGGCTCCAACCAGGCCCCGTTAGGGTTACGATGTGGCCCTGGGACCGTGGCCCTCCGCTGCGGCTCAGCATCCAGTGACAGAAGCAACACTTTGCTGGGCCCATCGTCCTGGGGAAAGACCAGTGCCACTGGGCACAGCGTCTTGTCAAGGAGGGCCTGTCCACCAGCTCTTTCAAAGACAAACCTGAGGCTGGCGTGGCTCGGTGGCTGAGCGTCGACCTGTGAACCAGGGGGGTCATGGTTGGATTCCCAGTCAGGGCACATGCCCGGGTTGGGGCTCGATCCCCAGTAGGGGGCGCGCAGGAGGCAGCTGATCAATGAATCAATGCTTCTCTCTCATCTTTGATGTTTCTACCTCTCTCTCCCTCTCCCTTCCTCTCTGAAATCAATAACATTATTAAAAAACAACAACAACAAAACCTGAGGGACAACGGAGCTCTCTGAACTACAGAATTGGGGCTCTCTTCATACACACAGCTTCTGGACAAGGAAACATGAGACTCAAAGCATCCAACACCCACCTATATATGATTTTTTTTTTTAGGTCAAGTTGCTCTGTACTCAGGCTCAAAGAGACATGACGCAAAGGGGCTGGTGCTGCCTGTGAGCTCTGGGTGGGGACGGCTGGCTCACCCATCGCTCTGACCAACTGTCCGCTGTGACCTCGGTCAGGTCTCCCTGCTCCCTCAGCCTCCCGAGGCCCCACAGCCACTCCTTCCAGAGGTCCCCCCCTGTGAGTCCCGCCAGAGGTCTCTGGGGAAGGGAGGGGGTGCCAGCATCGCCTGTGGGAAAGTGTGAGACTGAGCAAGGGGGACACAGGGACAGGAGGCTGGGCGCTCCAGGCCAGGCTGCCCCTCCGTCCCCACCCACAGGTTGTCTGCTCCCCTGCCCTGCGACACGGAAGAGGGAGGAGAGCGCGAGTGAAGCCAGATGCTGGGGATAATGGTTTGGCCACCATTCAGCGGCAATGGAGCTCCGTGTTCTCTTCCTCCCAAGCAGGGATGGTGGGGCGGGGCGGGCGGGCGGGTGGGGCCCGGGGGAAGGTCACATGGACTCAGCGCAATGCGGCAGATTCAGGAAAAGCCTAGAACCCTGAGCCGCCATGACACCCGCCCCCCCAGGTCAGGAACTCAAGGTCTATAGTTTTCCCTGAGAAGGGAGGGAGGCAGATGAAGGGGTTGGGGGTTGGGGGAGATAAGCTTTGATTTGGGAAGGCAGGAAGGGGGAGGCCCGAGCAGGCTACCCAAGAGCTGAGCTTCAGCTTAAGGCCAGGGATGTGTCTCCACCATCTTCCCACGATGCCAGCTGAGAAAACCTAAGATGCCACATCCCCACGATGGGCATTTGTTCGTGGGGTCCCCGAGCGCTCCTGCTAGCCCGGCCCCCACCCCAAGAAGAGACCCCCACCTTCTGTCCAAGGCAATGAGCCACAGGGAGGCATCCCCAAGGGGCCCTGGTAAGATGTCTCCCATTTGGGACTCAGGAGAGGAGCTCAAGAAGCTCCTGTTTGTCAAGTTCATCTAAAAATACAAACAGCTGCGTGTTCTTTTCCGATTCTAAGCAGCAAGGGCCCACAGAACCCTGGCGAGTCCCCGGGGCTCCCCCCGGCCCCGATACCCAGCGGTGGGCTTCTTGCTGCCCAGCCCGTGTTGAAAACGACCCTGGTGGCCGCCGCGGGGTCAGCTCCCAGCCCCGACAAGCTGTGTCTGCTTTCACGCTGACAGAATGTCCTGGCCATTCAGCTGAGCGCTCCATCTTCCTGCTCCCAACGCACTGAGTCATCATCCAGAGAGGAAAAAAACAACAGAGCAGCCGTCACCAGGGTCCCCACTGCCGTCGGCTGGCGACTCATGGCTGTCGTCACTCTCCGCTCTGCAGCCCCAGAATTGGTGACGAGGGGCCTCGGGGTGCCCGGCTCCCCTCCCACGGATGCGTGGCAGGAAGCAGGCAGCCACGGCTGCGAGGAGGGGAGGGAAACTAACCTGGCATCCAGAGGCTCCCAGGAAGGCGCCCCGGTTAACCCTCCCTCTGCCACCACCGGTCCTCCGGCTCCGTTCCCGTGGCCTCGCTCGGAGGCAGACAGTGGAGGGGCATTTACTCTGGGTGGGGAAGGGCACGGCCTGGCAGGCTTCAGGTGCCTGCTTTCTGGGGACCATCTCCCCCACCCCCTCTGCTTTTGCTGTCCCTGAAGGCACGCAAGCTCCCCTCGCCCCCATTTCTTCTCGAGCCCAGCCAACTGCTGTGTTCCTTCCTCACGTCCCTGCAAACCTACTGGGTAGGGGCAAGGGAGCCACACTTTCGGTCGGGAACCTATTTGCTTGGCAAGGTATCAGGCATTTCTGTGTAGTCACAGTGGCTCCGTCTCCCTGACTGAGGACACGGAGACTTAGGAAGATCAAGTCATTTGTCTAAAACCACCCGGTGAAGAGCAGGCAGGGCCCAGACGCAAACCTCCGTCTGTCCAAGAGCAATCCATGTCCCTGCTCCCTGCCTCCCACGCTCTCCACTCCCTTCTGGGTTCTGGAGCTGCTTTCTGCTCAGAAGACACCATACCCCACCCAACCTCCTCATCCTCTTCCAGGGTCACTGAGGTCTGTCAATGCATCCATGTCAGCTACAAAACAAGAAGCCGGCCTCCTGAATGAAACCGGCCACAACCGAAGAGGATGAAGTCAACGAGGGTGGTAGGGGCCAGCTAAGGGACCCAGGCCGTGGGTGCAAAAGGACCGGGCACCCCAAGTCCCACCACGCATTAGGATTAGGAGCTTACAAAATTCCTTAAATAGTCACGTTGGGGGGACCTACCTCGTCGTTCAAAGCCATTTTGCAGACACAGAGGATGGAGAGAGGAAAAAAACAACACAAAGGCTTTGAGAGACCAGGGTTCGAACCATGATCAGAACACTTACCAGCCACGGGTGCTCCCCGCAGGGTTGGGGTGAGGAATAAATGAAATGACCGCTGAGAGAGAGCTGGATGGGGGACCCCGCAGGCAGGAGGCACCCACTGGCTACGTGTGAGCTCACAATCTAATAGGTGACGTGAGATTTACAGACAAAAAACAACAACTAAAGGGGCATAAAGGGGGGGATGAAGCCCACGGGAGCTGGGCCCAAGGGGGCAGGGGTGGCTCTGAGGACCCCGCTGGTGAAGGGGAGGACAGGTCCGCGGGGGACGGCGGGCACTGCGGCAGGTGGGTGGGTGCCACGGAAATGCCACCGGTGAAGCAGAGATGGAAAGCAGC